TGTAGGATTATTGAGTAACGTCGTATGTTAACCTGTTTGGATTATTATCATCTCATTTTGCAATGTAGTAACGTCGTATGTTAACCTGTTTGGAATAGTAGGTATAAAATTGGCACGGCATTTCGATGAAGTGTCTTGCATCCCACAAGTCGATAAGAAAGGATGAACGTAGTCCCAGGTCGAGATAAGGTTGATCACCTCTGACTGACATCATAACAATATCCCGACTTTACTGTCGACAATGTAAATTATGAGGGCATGTTGTAATCGAACGTGCAATTACTTCGAATCACCTTTCACCTTCTGAGCACAAAGCAGATGGCATGACGTGACAAGTGTACTGCACTTTGATGATGGTACAACCAGTTGCGTAATACTTGAGTTTCGCGGCTGTCCTGTAATCTTTACAAAGGTATATTGCCTTAGTCAATGATGCATCACCTCTGGAGCACTGTTCAGACGACATGGAGAGTCTGTGATGACCTTCTGTTAGTCACGAAGCGTCTGTCGCCCTGATGGCAACCCTCGTTTCCTGGTACGTACTCATCCCATGGAGATCTTCGCTCGCCCCCACCCCCTTCTACATCACGATCAATGAGTTCTTGCAACTGTCAGGTAATTTACCCACAACAATACGAATCTCTACGCCCGCTGGCTTCAATCTGTCGCAGTTTGCTTTTTTACTGCAGGACAGTCATACGTTACGTGCACAGCTCTATTAATCACCCGTTGTTTATAGTATGAGATAACATTCCGTTTACGATCAAGACTGCTTTGCGGCACGTGGAAAAACGAAATTCGGCTCGCGGTAATCAATTTTCCGATATTATTAACAATAAAGTACTTCAGAAAATTTCCCGTTCTCAAATATGATTGCAGAAACTGACGTAATATCAAAAATATACGAATAAACAGAAACTGTAATAACTTTCACCTACTATCGTATATCTGCAGCTGGATACCAGGAAATCGAATGCTGCCAATTCGGCTTTCGGTTCAATGCGTGAGTTCAGAATACCGTGAAGGAACCAATGGTGGACTCAAGTGAACACGGTAATGAACAGTAAGTTCCACAAAAGGCGATGAATTTCTTAACTAGCTGAACGACCATTAACTTCCAAAGACCTCTGCTCCATCACGTCCGACGGAAATCTATACTAATCTACCTTTCAAGCCATCAAATAAATACTGGCACCCGTAGGAGCCCGAAACTCATGTAAATAATAAGTTATTTGAAATTTCAATCGTTGTCTCAAACGAAATACAACGCATTTCCATTGCAAAATCAGCTGGTTGATGCTGTTTGAGGAAAGAGTCGCAGATGATTCTGACAACCCCATGAAACCCATACAAACTCCGTGTGAAAAATTCCGAGTTCCTGAATGTTAGAGAACATGGTAGCCTTTCCACAAAGATTTACGTAAATGAATAAAAGTGAATTTGTCTTTCTGTCTGCGTGCGTGGTGGCACTGGATGGAAGTGATCGGTCAGCATCGCCCTTTGGCCGCTTTACTCCCGGGAAAATGACCTCAGGCAGGCGTACACGGTGGTAAGGCCTCAGAGTATATTCAGAAAGTCGACTGCCCCTGTCAAGAATCGGACCTCATTCACATGACCGAAGTTCCACGCGAAACGTGTCGCATGTTTCATATACTAGGAAGTATTGGCCTAGCATTGCCCTGTTATTTGACACAGTCGTCATAACCCTTGAAGTGGACCTTGAACGTATTAAGTAGTCTTGTGTTGATTTCTTTCCTGAGGGCATGTTTCTGTGGGCTGTGTTCCAGCATATTTCATCACGCGTCACATCTTGCAACTTCTAGTAAGTCAATCCCAAGGAATGGATCACCTTCGAACGACTCATCCTGCCGACTGCCTGACTGAGATGTACCATGGTTCCTTAATTTAAATGGTATCCCTTCCTCCCCAGGACCGTCTCTTTCATAATTCATATCTCTCGTCGCCATAAGCCTCGCAGCAAAAGTGTGGAACTTTAGTTTCATTTAAAACATATATTTCCATCTGCTTCACATCACATCCGAAGCAATGGTTTATCGCCGTCGCTAGGTGTATTGAGTCACTGATATTCCTTGCCACTGGACGTCCATTTTAATATGGCACTCCTTTTCGCCTAGGTCCGTTCCCCTGAGGCTTCGCAACCAAAATTTTGTACGCATTTCCAACGCCGAATTAATTAAAATACAACATGGAAGTTTCGTCATCATAAACAATGCCCAATAAAACTGACCAACAGCTGTCACAAACCTTCCAGTATAAAAGATCTCAGAGCCAATTAGACCGTCGGACCTACCCGTCCAACGCGGATATTCAAAGTCAAAGTGCACGGTACAGCGAATGGAGCCAAGTGCGATGAGAACAACATATGGAGAGGGGGTAGTAATACCATCCAATCGTCAGGGGGGACCAAACTGCATCATTTGCGATAATATATAATCTCGTATGTCACAGACGATCGTGGGCAACATGTACGCAACAGGAAATGAAGGCAATAAGCTTGTATTTATGAGGCACCGATAAAGGGTATTAATCCACAAGAAGTTATCTTCCTGAGCAATTAGACCCCTTGAAATTCTGCTGAAAAAGATACACAATCGGGTAAAATATTTAAAATCAGTATTTCTGTCCCAATAAATCGATTTTCACACGTGCAAATTCTCAACGATGCAAATGGAAAATGCAAATAAAATTATATAATAATTTTACTGTGCCTTTTTCTGGCGTTACGCGCTGGTACACAATATCGACACTTTTGTTCATAAAAAGTCCATAATAAAAAATAATATAACAGCTTTCTTGGAAAATCATTTAAACTGAACGTGTTATATGCAGAATTATTGGTGGTGCTAGATCAACTTATAATTCGTTATCACGCCGACAATAGTAAATATAAACAATAACTCAAGAACTAGATACACTGGGTGGTCTCTTTTCACTTCTGGTAATCGAATTAAAAATCACCGTGCAATCTACATAAACTCTGCTCCAAAAACTGAAGCAATCACTTCTGTTAGTATTTGCTTCAGAATACAGTATTTCAGTAATATTAGCATTTATGCTGCAGAACGTAAAATAATAAGGATGCATGATCATCTTCCTACTTAAGGCTATGCAACCACTGCAGATAAATAACTTCAGTATCAATGAAGCAAATGAAATTCTGCCATCTTACAGGTACACCCCTGCTTCAGACTGCAATGTTTCACAACCAAACCAACAAAAAATATCACCCTCCATACGCAGAACAGGATGTGTGTACTCCGACATACTGTTGGTTGGTAAAGAGGCTGGAGGACAGGAACAAACTCAATAACTAGGCATAAGCTCACCAGACACAAAAGATTTTACTACACGTTTACTATTATTCTAAGTGAACTTCCGTTTCAAAGAAACGAATCTCTGAAGTGACGGCAGAATTCCAAGAACGATGAACACAATGATAGATGCATATATACATAAAAGCATAATTATCAGCCAGAAATACTGAGCTGGTAATTTTCAAAAACGTTTCTACAGTTCCCCAATTAAAACAGTGACTGCCTACAAACATTGCTGTAGACTTCATTCCTTAATTTTGTGGTTTATTTAATAATGCTGTCCGCTCAACACTGAATGATAGGAAAAGCATCAAATAATGCATTGGAAAGGATTTGGTAGGAAACAGTCATAGCTAATTCAAGACACTATGCTGGAATTTGCTTGGAGGGACTGAGGCAAACCACAAAAAAAAATCACTATCAGGATGTCCAGGCTCTGGGCAAAGATTTGAACCCAGGACCTCCAAAACACGTAGCAGACATGCTAACCAATGCAATATAAAGCTATACCACGTTCTAACACTGTGGTACCACAAGCTCACTGCCACGTGGATTATTCACGCCATGGAAAGCAAATATGTATGTAAATTTTAAATCATTCACAGAAATGTTTCAGACAACTGAAGAGTACTGAAGTACAGTGTCTCCTTCTCCTAAACACAGGATGCCTCTTCATTTCCAGTAATGAAAGTAGAAGGGCATTGCCCCCACAAGCATACATCACTGCTCACCATGTCAGTGCCATGTGGTGGAGACGATGATTATGATGATGACAGCGGTGTACAATTATTATATTCTTCGTACAAATGGAAATGATACAGTAAATGAAAACGTGCATAACACAAAAAAAATCTAACAGAGTGAACACCACACGAAAGTACATAAATCAAAACGAAAACAAGAAGCATGCCATACAATCTGTGAAGTATCTTTAATACAAAAGTAAGAAACACGAGCAATTTGTCTCATATTTTTTAAGACTAAGTAAAAGTCCTGGAAATAACCTTCATTTTTAGATAACTGATTCTTGTGTTATTTAATAAAAACTGCTTCAATGGAAGGGGTTGTTTAGTGCTAGGAGATGAACAAGAGCTAGTTGAGAAAGGCTCTGGAACAAGGTAACTGTAGTCTACTCTGAAATATAAACCTGGAATTCATCTGAAGAATCAGAGGAAATCCATCAGAAATACAAGATAACCAATCAGTTTCTTTTGAAATTAAGTACATCCCAAATAACAAGTGAAGCACACATCTGCTTTGTTAACCTGCTGCATACTGTTTTGCAACTAACACCACTTCCGAAGCTATGGCGCTCAGTTAGTAAACTGCTGTTCTGTGGGGCATTGTGCACCAACGCCTTCAAATTCAGTGCAATTTTATCAGAAGCATTTCAGTGATTCTGATAAATTGCCATCATATGTTTCCATTTGCATCCTTCATGGCCAACTGCGTCAGTTTTCACCATCAACTGAAGATGCAATCTTTACAAAGAAATTGGAAATATAAATCAAAAATTTAAAAATTTTCATAACTAAATAAGGAAAAACTGTAGAATAATACTCCATAAATTTATATACAAAGTGCAAGAAGTCTATAAATTAGGGTACCCTGGTACCCAGACTTTATTAAAACCATATATGAGTAACATAAGAGAGTCTTACTCACTTTGACAGTGACACTGGAACCTGATGATTTGATGAGGTCAATGATTTCCTCCCTGCTCTTATCATCAACTGCAACTCCATTCACCTCCAGCAGACGGTCCCCTGGCAGCAAACCAGTCTCATTGTTGTGCTGAACAATTACACCTGGTTCAGCAAAGATCACAGCCCTTGTGTGTTGCTGTCCATTTGGTAGCTTCTCTGTCACCATGGCACGTCGCAACGAGAAACCAAAATCGCCCCTGGGAGGTGGCTGGCGTTGGATTGTAAGTTCACGAGGCTTTGGCAGAGGTACAGGAATGACTGGCGGTAATGGAAGCTCCAATGAGGAATCTTCCAGACCTCCGGAGGAATACCGATTCCAGCGATTTTGGAAGCCAACAAAACCTTGACTTTCTCCAACAGGACTCAAGCTAAAAGGTGGAGTTGCAAAACTACTGTTTGTGGTGGTTGTGTCAGTGAGACTGTCTGCACTAGGACTTGTACTTGTCACAGTCAGAAGTTTGCTGTTGGGGTCTGCATTTGTACCCGTAGCGATTGGTGCTGTGAGGTAGGCACTGTGATCTCCACTTCCCACTGATGATGGTAAGCACTCATCACTTGTTCGACTTGAATCTGGAGGGCTTCCATGTCGATGATATTGATCTGATTTACCATCAATATTGTCTCTAACACCTGAAACCAATGTTAATGAGGAGGTAGATTCTTTTACTATAAAACATGCACTAGAACTGGCACCAAGTCTGTTATTGATTGTTCTCTGTGGCACATTTTGATACGCTATCACCTCATTTTGAAGTGTGTTCCTTACTAGAATGCTGCTATCACTGTGATTATTTTCACCATGATGATTCACATTTTCACCAATTTCTATACTACTCCCACTCAGTCTTGGTCCCTTCAAGATTCCTCGTTTTGGAGGTCTTGGTGGAAGAGGTGGAAGAGAGTGCTGTTGAGCTCCAGATGTTGTAGAAGGATTGTTCAATGAAGTGAGACTTGCTTCACTACTGTCACTTTGGGTTAATGTATCACCACCTCCACTGCGGATCCAAGAAGAACTTGTGCCAGAAGATGGGGAAGGGCTAGCAGGGGTTGCAGAGGTTATATGGTGTCCAGGAAGACTGCTTGAACCTCCAGCATAGTCTGGTCCATGTTCCAGGCTTGCAAAGAAGCTGGCACTGTAATCTGCAGTGATGCCACTAGGAAGCTTTTCTTTCTCCTTCCGGCGACCACGAATCTTCAATGAGCGCCTTACCTGAAGAGGAAGGAATATCATTAGTTATGAGACAAATCTATCAGAACTTGAAAACATAATTTAATACCATTAAACTTTCTCTGTAAAAATGTAACTTCTCTGACTATAAATGACAATGGTAATTTATGCGCTGAAAATTCAACTTACTTCATCAAGCCTAAGCAATTCTTCTGCTGTCATGCTGCCACGATCTCTTTTCTTGTTTTCTTTTCGTTCTTTCTTTTCTTTCTTTCTCTTTTCTTTCTCCTCCTTCTCCATGCCACCCTTCTTCATGAAGTTGAACATGATGGCCTTGTATATGGTCTCCACCTGTAACAAAATAAATTAGAGTTTAGATTATTCATTTTTCGGTGTCTCCTGTCGGTAGTCATTACAAACAAAATGTTAAGCAAAATGCATTATGTATTTACTGTAGTGTAACAAAGTTAGGCATCAAGATATGACAACTCAGCACACATGACGAGCAGTAATAAATCAAAACGAGGACGAAGACTCCTTATATGTATGCATGATTTGCTACCTTACCTAGGTTTCCTAAGTCCACCCAATGCAATAACGATCCATCATTCTACAAAAACAATACATATTCCAACAATAATACTTGACATAGCACACAACACCAAACACATGCGTATACATTGAATGTTGTAACGTGTTACTTCATTGAATAAATATCGCTATTACGTAAATATTACGCATAATGTAGCTTGATAATCACCAACAGATTGCAACCTATCAACAATCTACCGTCGACGGCACCTTATACTACGCGAATGTGTAAAATTCCAACATGGGGGTACCACCATCGGGCGCGTTGCGTGTTAGTTTCAGTCACTAACGCAAGAGGCACTTTAAACAAGTATGGCAGTGACACCTATTGAAGAATTATCCAATCAGGTCAGATGCGTGTTACTTTAAATTGGACCTCATGGCGGCAGATTTAAACGCATCTGACAATGACAGAACCTCAAAGAAATACAAACTAAAGATCACTCATTGTCCTGATTGTTGAGACAGCAAGTACCTCTGAAACGTTGGTTTATTTCTTCCAGACTATGTAACCCTTAAGACAGCCATCTTCATATTCTTCACACTTGCCACCATGAGAACCCCAAATCCTACTGGATAAAGAAAGTCTCCTCTACTACCTTGCTATACCATACCAGCAATAATAATTCAACTATTTTGAAAAAATTTCCCCATAGTAACAGCCCATAATTTAATGCTGTATACTAATCATATGTTATGCATTCAATATGTAATGTATCAGATGGCATAATTTATTTTATACTGTATATGCCCAATCATTTACATGATTAAGCAGCAATTAGATTGGTCTAGAAATCTCTACTTGTATTTGGGGGGTGCCCAGTTTGAATCTCAACTAAACTACTGGGTATACTGCTTATTCTCAAAGATTTCCTTACTTTCTGAAAACAAATGCTAGACTGGTACCTTGAAATGTGTCATAAGAGCATCCTACCAAATTCTTATCTCCTCACTTGTTATGGGAGTTGCATCTTTTATCATACTAGAGCAGGGCGCTCCTTTCGGAGCTCCTAGTGGGGGTTGGTCAAGTTTGTGAAACGCAACCAACCGTGGTTAGTCCCAAAGGGGAGTTAGTTTAGTGTCTCATTCAAGTGTTTTAACCCCTGAGTAAGAAACTAAACTAACCTCCCCGAATGGGGGGTTTAAACACTTGACAAACCCCCCGAAGGGGGTTGGTTGCGTTTTGAAACTTGAGTTTGACACTAAACTAACCCCCGTGTATAAACAAATATAAGGTGATATTGTTGATGACGTCATTTTTTGACGACAACGATGGCTAATCCTTTCGGAGCGCTTCCTGTAATCTGATATTTTTCTTCCTTACGTCGCTGATCAGAGGCCAACAGTTCTTGGTTAGTCAACTATCTACTTTCAACATCACCCTTGCAAATCTTATTTTTTTCTCTTCTGTTTTTTGTTGAATAGTTCTGATATTTTAGTTCTTTACGTCGCTGTTCAGAGGCCATCTGTTCTTGATCAGTCAACTTTCTACGTCCAGCAACACCATAGCTAATCTTCGTCTGTTTTTTCTTTTTCTTTTTTTTTCTCTTCTGTTCTTGTTGTATACGTTTTTCTATGTTTATCAATGTAAGTCTCCCTTCGTTTTTCTTTATTTGTTAAATAGGTCTGATGGATTAGTTCTTTACGTCGCTTTTCAGAGGCCAACTGTTCTTGGTCAGTCA